CCAAGGATAGGCAAACTGGGGTTGCGTAATCTGAAATGTCTGGTTTGTTTTAAGAGCTTATTTTGACATTTTGGGCGAATGTGAATGAAATTAGAACCATCACTGAGCAGACAAATTGAGTCACATTCTTTTTGAAGGCGGCTAAACACACTCTCTCTCTTTCAATATATCAATCAAGCATAAGTAATTCCTACTCATATTCCTCACATTTAATGTATTTCCTAATCTATTATTTTCAATAGCCTCTCTTATCTTTCTTTTAAACACAGACGTACCGTAATCAGCAAACCTACTAGTTTGAGAACATTCTATTTCATGTCCCGTTTCTACTATGTGTTCGGCCACTTCTGACCGTTGGATCCAGCTACCTTTGCATTCCTAAGCTATTAATTTTAATAGCCTCTCTTATCTTTCTTTTAAACACAGACGTACCGTAATCAGCAAACCTACTAGTTTGAGACCATTTTATTCATGTACAGTTTCTACCATGTGTTCGGCCACTTCTGACCGTTGGATCCAGCTACCTTTGCAAGCATTCTTGTGTTCCAAGTATCTTCCATGTGTTCGGCCACTTCTGACCATTGGATCCAGCTACCTTTTCTGGATGTTCTTATCATTAGAGAAGAGGGTAGGTTAGGAAGAGATGTTTATAGGAACTTAACATATGTTGGCTCTTTGCTTAATTTTATTTCCAACCATAGTTGCGAGACTAAGGTTAGAATTTGGAAGTCAATGATTCTTAGAAGTATGAAACTAGCTGATAGCAAACATTTGACTAAATAGTTGAAACGGCTGACAAATATTTTCCTGAAAAATAATTATCTTTTAGGCCTTATTCACAATAATATCTCTCTGCTGAGGAGTAAATTTTAAGACTGAGACCTTTTCCCATGTCCTAATTTTAACATCATGCTTTCTTTTAAACAAGATAGGCGAATTAGTAAAGAAGTGGGACATAAAAACATAAAAAAGAAACCCTCACACTTTATTCTGTTATTCCATCATTTAGAGAGAAATATGACCCATTATCGAGATCTGGCTGCTACAAGAATGTTTGCTCATGCGGTCGATGTTATGTTCGTGAGACATGCCGACCTATTCGACAAAGATTGGTAGAACACAAAAATGCTTGCAAAGGTAGTTGGATCCAACGGTCAAAAGTGGACGAACACATGGTAGAAACGGGACATGAAATAAAATGGTCTTAAACTAGTAGGTTTGCTTATTACGGTACGTCTGTGTTTAAAAGAAATATAAGAGAGGCTGTTGAAATCAATAGCTTAGGAAATACATTGAATGCGAGAAACGGTGGTAGAAAGTTGAGTAGTAACTATCTACACTTGATCACTCACATTCGACCAAAATGTTAAATTAAGTTCTTCAAACAAACCAGACATTTCAGATTACGCAACCCCAGTCTTGCCTTTCCTTGAAGGGTTAAACGTTAATGACCCTTGACCGGTAAAGTTAGGACACATGGTTTCGTAACTTAATTATCATACTTACAAACTCATATTTCATTGTCTCAACCATACTTACTTACGGACCTAGGCAGTCTCAATCAAAGATTTTCTCTTGGGTTATTACGTTTTGAGGATCATAACCGAAGATTTTACCTTTGACAAATCTAATTTAGACGCTTTCACGCACAAATATTCATTCTCATACAATCGAGAAAAAATAACAGAATCAGTATGAAAGAAAATTAGCCAAACCACTCCATATCGATCTATCTAGGTTTTTTATTTTTCATTTTTTGGCTCGATTGAGTCTAAATAAGAAGTAAGATAGAGCCGGATAGTGTTCTTGCTTTAGTGTTAACGTGAGACTTTCACAAGAATGACACCCAGCTCTGATGATGTACATCATATGATGGAGGAAAACTCAGCACGTTTTCACCCGAAACAAGGGAGAATGTCTTGTGGACTCCAGTACGAGATTCATCCGTCCTCATCCGGTGAGATTGACCAACGAATCTCTTCTTCATTTATTTTAATGGGAACTGAAAGTCCCCCTAACAATATTATTTCATAAGATTAATCGAAACACAGTTTCTCTTCATATCTACATATAACTAGCTGGGCGAAGAATCAAATGTTGAGCAAACGTGAGGTTGACTCCCATTTTACTCAAGTCGGCGAGCTTTGTGGTACGGCTTAGGTCAGAATGAGGTTCATTACCTTGACTGCTGTCGCTGTCTCCACCTCCACGCCGATACAGTTGAGCAAAAGGCGGACAGTGCCTTCGTGTCCGGACTGGGCGGCCAAGTGGAGGGGCGTGAGACCACACTGAAGCATGAAAGATGAAAAATAAGGTTTGCTTTATGACTGATTTCGGTAAAGGCAGACATGAATAGAAGTTATATTTCCTTGGGGCATCCTTCATCTTCGAGGAATGCCTGTTTCGACTGGTCTTTATTGTTGTACTCTACCAAGAGCGAGTTTGTTCAAGAGGAATTGAAGCGAATAATTAAGTTTTGTGTTAAATTTAATTTCACTGAGGAGTACAAAATGACAAAATTCATATCAAATCTAGACAGCCATTTCGATTTCGCCTCATATTGTCAATGACAATTATAATATGATTATAATTGTGGGTATGGGAAGTATAAGCCAAACAAATGTATTTTATAGCCTTATTTTGTTACATGGAAAAAATGGCCTGCAAGGCAAAGCAAACACCTTTTAAGTTTCATTATTTTGTGAGTAAATGTATATTTCAGTTTGAAACCACAAGGGCTTGCAGATAATATCTCATCCAACCTGGACTGCAATTTCAATCTTGCCTGTATTTTACCACCACTAAAGTTGGAATCGAGTCTGGATCGTATTTGTCAGATTGTAGAACTTTGCCACTCGGTCACACATTCAAGGCCGTCATTAAGTCAGAAAGTAAACTGGACCTCTCCCAATTAGCAATCACATCGGGATTTCGAGACTGCCAGTAAATCAGATATATGAGATGTGTTCAGGCTATTTCATTTAAGGTGATGAAGGACGTGTAGTTGAAGTTTCCCACAATGATATGAGTATAGCTGATGTTTCCATTTAATTTCACATAGCCTTTTTTTCCAAAAAATTGTTCTCATCCAGGATGGACTGCAGTTTCGATCTCGCATAGGTCTTGACAACCATGACAGCACAGCGGGTAATCTCGTCATGTTAATCACTACACCACATTGGCATATTTCAATTCCTGCTGGGGTGTTGATAAGACCTAGGCAAAGTCAAAACTGCAGTCTACCCTGGATGAGAGCAGCTTTTGAGAAATCAAGACTATGTAAAATGCACTGAAAACGCCAACTCTTCTCACATAATTGCGGGAAAATTCAACTACCAGTCCTTCATCACCATAAATGAAATAGGGTGAACGCATCTCAGATATACAGTGGGGTTGCCGATGAGGCAAATTTAAGCTTTCAAGTAAAATATTCTATATTACTAACTAAAGAATGAGTAGATTTTTAGTATTAGAAACATAAAAAAACCTATTTGTCGATTTCAAAAAGGTCGTGTCTTTGTGATCATGAGCATAAGAGCTCAGTGGCGAGTTTCAAAAGTTTTAGATAGAACCGAATCGCATCGTGCCATTTCATCCCCAAACAGAAAGGGATTTCGAGGGGTATAAGCTCAATGAAGATCAACCCTCTCCAAGTTTGAGTAACTCTTATGGAAAATATATTTCTTCTATTTTTAGCAGTTACATTTTTAAGTTAGCATCGAAGGAAGCAATTCCAAAAACACAAATGTGTTTTTCGTTTATACTAAGGGTTTTGAGACTGCCAGTAAATCAGTTATATGAGATGTATTTACCTTGCAGGTATTCAAGCCCTGAGCTGTCAAGGTTCGAGTCCCGCTGGGGGTTTTTTCAAGACCTAGTCGAGGTCGAAACTATGGTACAATGTGGATGAGAACACTTTCTAGGAAAGCAACGCCATGTGAAATTCAATTGAATCGTCAGCTCCATTCATATCATTGTGGGAAAATTCAATTACTAGTCCTTTATCACCTTAAACCAAATAGTATAAATATATTTCGTTAGAATGTGTTCTATTGCTTTGCTTAAACACATGGTGTAAAATATCTTTGGAACTCACTACTTACTTTAAAACAAGCCCATTTGCTTTGCTCTGGAGCCTTGTCTTCTTGCTGAGAATACCCGAGATTACTGAGGAATCTTGAATTGTTGTAAAGTAATACTAACTGATCTAAGTTCGCATAACATCTCTTGAAGACACGCGTGATGATTTAAACAAAGATATAACAATACTATAAAAAGATTTTCCTAGCCTATAGAGTACCATCATCCGATGAGGTTTTATTGCATTGATGGTGACATGACCCACACCTAATCTTTGCACTTAAGTTCCCTTTAAACTACGTCCAAAACGGCAACTTGCAGCTCTCGTCTCTTCATTCAATAATCCTCTCTAGGGTGACTCGAATCATAGGCATGAGGGTCAGAAGGCAAAGAAGTTAATCTCCAGACCAGACGATCCTGCTCCATCGTAATTGACGGAGACTGAAGTCAGGTCTGGAAATGAGAGGGCATCACGCAGTGAAATTTGACGCAAAACTGGTACAATAAGTTAGTTAAAGTGTTGCTTTCGTTATGGCTTACATCCGTCTCCGTCGAGGTCTGTCCCGTGGGCGCATTGGCTACGGCAACACTGCCCACATTGGCCGGTGTCAACAGCAGCAGTTCACGTACCATATCAAGTTGGCCGAAGTTTGCAGCCACGTGGAGCGCCGTCAGTCCGGTCAACAGGGAGGCCTGTTTGATCGGGCAACGGGTTTTCAGGCTGTAGAAGACATTGAGATGACCGTGCTTGGCAGCAAGATGGAGCGGAGTGTAGCCGGCCTGTAGAAAATGAGAAGAGACAAGAAGGCACACATTGATTTAGCGAGATGCCCTAAAGCAATTAAGTAGGAATAGTTTATGCTTGAATGATATACTCAAGGATACAGAGGGTTTTGAATCACCTGAAAAAACGAATGAGACTCAATTAATCTTTTCTTATGCAAAAACAAGTTATCTTTCGATGGATCTCTTGGTTTATAATAGTTGAACTCACTTCCATCTCGAATAAAAGCGTTTGATGAAGAGACGCGAAGGTGGATCCCATCAGACACACACTCGTATTTGGCATCGTCCGTTAGTCTTGCCATTAAATTGCCTTAAGAGACGCTACCATTCGGACAGGGTCAATGTGATTATTCACTAGGCCTCTACTCAGAAGTTGACTGAAAATCATACGATATAGAGGAATAAGTTAAGCCATTTGTCTTATACAAACAGAGTTTCGAGACTACCATTAGGTTATGTTAATTTATAGATAGCAAATCAAAGCTACTATGTAACTAGAAGAGGATTTTGGCTTTATAAAATATTTAAAGACTCTAGAGTAGGACCTCTGCCTTAGTGGCAAAGAGACATACGAAAAAATTGTTTGGGTATGGGATTATAAGGCAGTGTAAGTCAAAACCAGAGCACCCAGTTTATGTGGCTTTAGAGGTGGCAACAATTACTAATGAGTAGGGGGATCGGATAGCGGTGAATTTTCCCCCGCTTCTTCTTGATCACTAAACCATTACGATCCTGAAGAAAGAACTTAATTTTTTACTTCAAAATAACAGCAACTTTCTAGAAGACATTCTGGTGGAGGTCATCAATATCTCAGACCCATTGCTTGAAGAGAGAAATGGAGTTGGAAATAATCCCAAAATCTCTGCCTATCAGGAACCAACTTACAGGAACACATTTGTGAGGATATGTAGAGCCACAAAAATGAAATAAGAATTAGTCCTTCAGGAGAAAAAAAGAGCGACGGTGATAATTGACAATAAAAAATACACCTGGAGGATGGAAACTATACTACGAGACAGCACCATGCATCATGTATTTAAAGAATGAACCAGCTATGAGGATCAACGCAGCTCTGCCTGACACACTAAAATATAGGCATAGGAACGGCGAAATCGACGAATGGACGATAAATTCACTAAGAAAGGATGCACGACCACTGGCATCCTACAGATTGCCGAAAATACAAAAAGGGGAATCGCCAAAGCTGATAGTCAACATCATGTATAGAGTAACATACAAATAGGCAAAGTTCAGATGTTTGAAACTCAATAAGTTAAATGACAGGCTATCACAAGCATCGAAGCA